TTGCACAATTCTGAGTGTTTCTATCCATGGCAAATGTGAATGTAAATGTCTCTGTTTGAGATTAATAAAGCATATCTTCTTATTTGAGGTCAGTTCGATTAAAGGTTAAATTTTTTAGATATTATTGAAAATTAGCCCATAACACCAAAAGACAACAAAGAGTAGGCTCTGAAAACAGTCCTTGCTTTTGCTTCCCCGTAGCGCGTGCATGTGTGTGCGTGTGTGTGTGCGCGTACCTGTGTGTGTGTCGTTAAAGCCTGCTCTGTTCTCTAATGTTTGTTTTATGGCGAGGACAATGCTGTAATATATGAAATCAGAGATGTCCGTTGAGAAAATAGCTTTGGCGGACGCTAAATAAACGCAATGTTATTATATAGTTTATGCAAAAATTAAAATAAGAACTATTGTGTCAAATAGGAGTGGGAAGAATGGATGTTGGAACGTATTATTCAGCGTATCAACATTCAGGGTTTTTCAAGAGGATATACTTTCAATTTTATTTTATTCCTATTTTTAGACAACATGTAAAAGTTCCACATCAAAAGAGACAACATTATTTTAATTGGGGTCATGTGTTTAAATGATTATTTTTACAATTAAGTCTAATTGCAAAAAAAGTTTGACCTTCATCTTTCTACCGTTTTTAGGCAATTGTCATAGAATGTGTTAACATTTGCAATAATTACAAAAAGACATAACCCGGGATCGAACCCGGTTCTACATTGTAAGCACACAGTTTAGACCAGGGGTGCTAATAAGTCGATCGCGATTACCAGTGTCGCCAAAGGTAGTATTGGTAGATCGCATTAAATTAAATAAAAATTACACATTCTAAATTTTTGAAAATCGTTAATGCATTGTGTGTAGACAGAGCTAATCGGAGTTTTGCGTTCTTGCACGCCACAGGTACCCCCCCTAAATCCTTGATCATGAAGCATGGCTCCATACTACCTTAAAAACTGTTCACTGTGAGATGCTCGGAGCGCGACATCTCCACTTCAGAGAGCAGCAAAGGATGCGGGGGACTCACGCTTGAAACACCTAAACAGGACTTAACCAGGACTAACCGGAATAAACCAGGACTAAACAGGACTAACCAGGGCTGGGCGGGGTCAGTGCTTGTAATAACCTACGTCTTACTTGATGTCTTCTATGACTGTAAAAGTGCCGTTAACGCGTCTGATAGAACTCGCCATTTCTGGTTATTCCCAACGGCAGGAAGGACGTAAGACACGATGTAGGAATGTGATTGATAACGTGATGTGTGGATGCAAATTATTTTATAACGAGGAGGGGGAAATATTTGGATTTAAATAATCCAGGCATGGACTGGACATGGCACAGTCAATGACTCTGAGTTTTACTCAGTAATGTTTTTACTGACACTTAGGTGAATGCCCATGCGCAACAACGCGCTCAGTGCAGGAAAGTAAACACGACAAAACTTGCAGGGAGTTACCACAATTGTCGGATATGCATCCTGGCCATCAATTCAGTGCAAGTCATAAGAGTAACTCGGGTTAATGACAAAAAATGTACATAGATAAATTGTGTTGTGTTGTGCTTATTGGCTCATGCGGTTTGCATGTACATAAACATAATTGTAGGTATAAGAATTTTTTTTGAAAATAAATAATGATTTGCATTTTTGTAGTAGGTAGATCATTTTGGACTTGAGTCTTTTATAAGTAGCTGCATGTGAAAGTGGCACCCTGGTTTAGCCACTAGGGCACCGATTCACACGAATGGGACATGAGAAGAACGGATTCAAGTCGAAAATTCTGATCACACGTGATTCCCCGTTTTCAGCTGTTCAATTGTTCAAGGCATCCGATATAATCTCGTTTTGGTTTTGTTTTGTCATTAATGATTTGAGAGTTAACAGACCTTTTTAGTTCTGCGCCTGTGTGGTCACTAGGCAAAAACAGGTTTGGCACGGCAGGATTATACTGAGGCAATGGTGCTAGTTGGTTCAATCTTGGTGGGGGACATCACATACGACCTGAGGTCTCACAACCATTGACACGGGGTCCAGAGTTTCTCCAGGAATTTGTTGTGTAATTAATTCACACACTATATTTGCAATGTGTGTTGCCTTCTATACTAAACTCAGCTGTAGACTGATGCGAGCAGTTTAAGGATTTTTTCTAATCGTTTAAAACAAAATCAATTGGATCAGAGCTTCTGAGTTTTGTGTTGCGTTATTCTAATTACTGACTTAAACTAATCAAATCTAATAATAGCCCCTCACTGAGGCTCTAACAGTGTCACGGAATGCTCTGATACTCCCTAATCTCGAAGCCTAATATGGTAACTACAGAACTTCAAATATGGCGGCGATGGACGTTCAGATGCAGGCAGGGGGTAATGGGAAATGTAGTAATTTATGGTTAATTTCTAATGTTGCTATTTTTTCAAGAGACATTTATTAAAACTAAAATAATTTGTACTCATTTTGATTGTCAATACATAATATAATACATATGTAATTGGCATGCCAATATTATGCCATTTAATATGTTTACTTAATATTTTTTTTTGTATGTAAATAATTTACAGCAGCCCCTAGTTTTAAGTGGTCTTATATTAACAATCAGGTCAAAACTGATCCAACAAAATTTAGTTTGTGATGATAGCTAATACGGTTCTTGAAAAATGTGCATTTAAAAACTACCCAAATTCAGTACTTAAGCCTAAATATTTAAAAACAGGTGTGGGGTACAGGCATTATGATTACATCATCTTACTCCATTTAACATAAGCTTTCAGAAAATGCCCTTCATTTGCCTCTACTATAAAAAGTAATTTTTTTCACTTCAGCCCAGATGCCTCCTTCCAGTCATACTTTTACACACCTTTAAGCTGTCCAACATGGACAAAAACTGAAAAGTTATGAAAGTTTATAATTAAACCATCAGATTTTGTTTAATAGGGATTGAAGACATGTCTTCAATGCAAATTAACTGTATTTAAACAAATTTGTACTGTATTATTGCCAAAATTTTATTTTATTCCTGAAATAGTAGCCAGGGCCTCATCATATTCTTCACATACATAACCTCTGTACACTGCTGAAAGTAATGATCGAATTCCTGTGGATGGAGTGTCAAGTTTGTGGAGCTGATCATTTGTTTTGGGCTGGTGTGGTTTGTCTGTGATGTCTGCACTATTAATTGTAATGTGTACAAGAAAAGTAACGTTGTAAAAATCTGTGGCCCTGATTCTGTATGATGTAGAACATAGTCTCGAGAATGGAATTTTTCACTGGCTGTGTGTTGTATGGTAAATAGACGTTTGTGTTACAAATTCAAAAGATGAGACATTTTGGGCAAACATATTTATGAACATTTACATGAATTACTATCTTTCATTCTACACACTGATAAACGTTTGTACTTTACAAAATATTATTATATCTGGTGGTGGATTCTTTCAGGGATAGAAGTCACAATTCTGTGGCATTTTAATAATATACAAACATGTTCAATGTTAGCATTTCAATAAAATATATTACAAGGTTTATACAGGCAGAAGCAAAGTCAAAATGTAATGCTTTATAATGTGATTTAAAGCCAAAAATACTATATTTAATACCACAAACACAGAAACAAATTGGTGCAGATTTAATTTCTTAAGATTTGCAAACATTTCATCATAGTAGAGAATGGGACCAAACGGGAAAAACAAATGTAGTCAATTTCCGCCCAAACTGCAGCTGAACATGTTTTAGACCATCATTTTTGATATTTTTGATGAACTTACACAGTAAAAATTGTTGAGCAATGTCATCATTTGAAAAGAAACTTAGATGTAATGCCAGTTTGAATCTAATTTAATGCTTTTAAATGTTCTGTGGAAACCCTGTATTACCTAAGAAATATTACCAATAAACTTTAGCTGCACCATCCCCAGTGTCAAATATGGTGGGGGGAGCATCATGCTATGGGGCCGCTTTTCCTCAGCGGGGACTGGGAAGATTGTAAGAATAGTTGGGAAGATGGATGGAGCCAAATACAGAGACATTTTGGAGGAAAACCTGCTGGAGTCAGCAAGAGAATTGAGGCTGGGGCGGAGATTCACCTTCCAGCAGGACAATGACCCTAAACACAAAGCTAAATCTACAATGGAATGGTTTAAAAACAAACATATTAATGTGTTAGAACGGCCCAGTCAAAGTCCTGACCTAAATCCTATTGAAAATCTGTGGTAATAACTAGTAACAAATATCAATAAAAGTGGTAGTTCTTGTGTAATCAAAGTAGTACTTAATAGTAACTCTGCTCAATAACTGCTAGGTAATTGCCTAGTAATTACTAATAATAAATATCAATAAAAGTGGTAGTTCTTGGGTAATTAAAGTAGTTGTTAATAGTAACTCAGCCCAATAACACTGAGTAATAATCTAGTAATTACTAGTAATAAATATAAATTCAAGGTTGTAGTTCTATGGTAGTTGAAATAACTCTGCCCAATAACTGCTAAGTAATTGCTTAATAATAGTACTAATAACTATTGGGTTATTAATGTGTTATATTTTTGGTATCCATAGGGGTGAGCTATACATGCTCATCAGTAAGTCTTACATTGTCAGTGTTATTGAGCTGAGTTACTATTAATAACTACTTTAATTACCCAAGAACTACCACTTTTATTGATATTTATTACTAGTAATTACTAGGCAATTACCTAGCAGTTATTGAGCAGAGTTACTATTAACTACTACTTTAATTACACAAGAACTACCACTTTTATTGATATTTGTTACTAGTTATTACCACTGTAATTACTACCGTTATCACTAGGTAATTACCTAGTAGTTACCGGGTTGTCATGTAAAGTGTTACCGAAAATTCAAAATAAAATCGTTATGTTTATGGTTGTAAACATGACATAATGTGCAAAAGTTCCATGTGTATTAGTACTTTCGAGAGGCACTGTATAATACTTTTCACTTAAGTACATTTCTATTATGGCTATATAGTAAAATAAAACTTCATCAACTATTGAGTGTCGCTGTCATTACCAGACATTATAGAGTCTGAATCTTCTGCATCACTCTCATCTTGCATCTCATCTTGTGACCATACAAATGTCTTTGTAGCCACACGCATGTATGTGCCAGTGACTTCTTGGAGATGTTGCTTAAGGTGGTGCTGCTGATAAAGGAGGCAGCAGTGAAGACCTTGGTAGCCCTCTTTGGTTAGTTCCTCAGGACAGACTGAAAGTTTGGAAAATGAAGTATGCACATTTTAATTTTGGTAAAAAATATATTTGTACAAATGCACAAAAACGTACCTTGGTTGCTGAAGTCCTCTGTATTTTTTACAATACGAGTATTCAATTGGCCAACCTTCTGTCGGAGGAAAGTGCAGTGACGCATCATCTCGTGCAGCAGTATGTCTTTTTCCTCTTGCAAACGGGAAACAAGCATCACCTGGTCAAAGACTTGTCGCTTTAACCGTAGACCTGCAGAAGAATAAAATCAGAGACATAGTGTTGTAATAACTAAGTAGCATAGCAACTTACCATCACCCTGTGTCTCCCACGGAAGTTGAAAGCTCTCAGAAAGACTACATGCTTCGTCTAGGTCAATCTTCTCGTCTTCTGAGACCTTTCCATTGTACATTATAATAGTACCCTTTAGCTTTGTCTTCATCTTATTGAGAGTTCGCCGGGTTGCCTGCCTTGATTTATTGCTGTCTATAACATTTTTGGAAACATTTATTGAGTCAGTAAACTGCTAAATTGTTATTACTATTTGTTGTTTTCTTCTTCTTACAAACCATTGTCTCGATAAAGATTATGTTTTTTTCTTTTGAAACTGTAGATCAAGGCCTCAATTTCCTGCTGCAACTCATTTTGGCTGGCATTGGATGATGCACGCTCTAAAAGAGATTCAGTACTGTACATAACTACAAAAATATCTATGCAAAGAATTCTATATCATTTATCTTTTTATTACCTGTTTCTGCCCATTGTCTGACCTCAAACACCCATTGCTCCACAGTGTTATCTGCAAGATTGTGCTCTTTCTTGAGATCCTCCAGATTGCTCTGCTCTGTGAGTGCTCGTTCACAAGTCTATAACAGGAAGGAAATCATAATTTCTTCTTGTGAAGTAACAAGGAGCATAATGTACCTTATTCATTATTAACAGGTGTGCATAGTTGAAGCCTAGTCAATAATAATAATGCATTTGTTTTATAATAATTTGGTACATTATTCATTCTCTCCACACTTGAAGGCAGAGGAGACTGAACTATGAGCACAGGTGAGTGTCAGGCAGAAAACAGAGGAGACAGAGATTGGCACAAGGACACGATCAATGACTGCCGGTCTGGCAGAGACGTTGTGGAAGAACCAGGCCTAAATACTGCAGGTTGAGTAGATAGGAGTCAGATGTGTGATAATGAAGTTGCATTATCACAACTTCATTATCACACATAATGAAGTTGTGTGATAATGAACACAACTTCATTGTGTTCATTATGAACACAATGTAACCTGAAGTAACTGCAGGTTACTTCAAAGAGAGACCATGACACTTCAGTTCAACATTTTTCAATGACATCTTCTGCCAATGCAATGCGTTGTTGTATTCTTATGTAAGATATCAAAGCTGAATTAATGTGTCAGCGTGGCTATGTTGAAGAAGTCCTAAAAGTAATAAACATCATACTTTGGTGAATCGACGTGCCAGGGCTTTGTGCAGTCCATGGACTTTTCTTCTGTTCCATCCAATGCCAAGCACAGTGAGCATGTCATTTCGGCCTTTAAGTGAACAACATCCAGAGTAGTAAACTTCACATTTAAACATTGAGGGAATCTTGATGTAATGCCACTTACCAGCTTTTGACATGTACTTTGTAGTAAGAGCAGCTTTTGACAAAAAGCTGTTCACCTGCTCCACTTCTTCGCCAATTGTATTTCCCGCACCAAGCTGGCTCCTTCCTCCCCATTTTACCTGCACAATTATTAACATATGGTTTACAAATGCACCTATGCAAAAAAAACTTGAATACAGTTAAAACACGGAAAAACATGTACCTCACACTTGCTTGTATGGGCTTTGGCGTGCATAACAGACAAAAAAGGCTTCATATTTGTCAGTGGTAGAAGCTCTGGGATTTTTTGTGCTACCTTTGCCAGATATGGCCAATATCTACAAACAACAAAAGATACATAAGTTAAAGATACTAATGTTCAAATCAATGATGAGCACATTCCTTAAAGGACTACTTACTTGCAAGTGACATCCATGCAAAAGAAGTTTACATTTGAGGTGCTGTAAACTTCCTTTTGAATGAACATGGGGTAGGCAAATATCTCTCCCCGATAGTGGTTAAGAGCTCTCAGCAGGAGTCCATGTCGGCAGACCGCAACTTGAAGACCCTCCTCATCGATCTTAGAGAGCGATTTGCATGATGTTTCTTTTCCTGCCTTGAATGAGGCTGAGCCACACAAAGAAGCACCTGATCTCTGCAATAAAAAAAAATGACTATGAAAGATTACTGACAGAAAAAGGCAGATTATAATATAAGATTAATAGTCAAATACATAGACATAGAATGTAGCATGTGTGGAGGAAGAATGGATTGGTCATTTATGACCTTTAACAGTAATTTGGACATGGGTCTTCAACATTTTATGTGGATAGCACTTGTTTGTTTGTTTGTTTTTTTATTAAAAAGTAGTATTTTTGTGGATATTTTGTATCGGATATCATTTTTGTACTTACACTAGGCATCTGGCTCCGAACATGGTCCACAAAAACCTCTACCTCCCTGTCCTTGGCGATGAAGGTGCCATCGAATAATGCTGTCTCATCCGTCCTGTAGAATGTGTAATTGATCTGTTATATTAAGGCAGTGTTCAATTAACAGTAGGTAGGCGGTATACCAACCCTTTGCTGTTACGGAAACGATAATGCTTCCTGTTGCCGTCTACTGAAACAGCAAGCATGTCTGGAGTGCAGGCTGGGCATACAAATGGCTGTTCCATACACATGTGGCCTTCCTGAAAACTGCAGTATGCAAATTCCCGAAAGCTTCGATGGAAAGCATCACCACAGATTGTGCCTTCCTATAGAAAGAATGTTTAATCTCATTAAGTAATGTTAATGATAAAAATTTACATTACATGGCTGCCATTTACCCTCCCATTTTGGAGTGCTCTATTTTCAAGCATTCGTAGGAAAGCCTGCTGGGAAAATGCTGGACTGGAGTTTTTAATCTGCTCAAATGATCTTAATACATCAAAGCTGTACAGAGTTTGGCAGCTGGGGGTCGCAGGCCAGTATCTGTATTTCATAAGATCAGCTAAGCTTGGTGTCCATTTGGTGGAGCATGTTGTACAACTTGCCATTGGCAAGTGGAGCCGATATGGACCTTAAGAGAGAAACAAATCATGTGCATAGTTAAAATGTTATTTCAATTTATGTCAGATTGTGCGTATAATGTTTAATATGACTAAACATAATATTTCTATTTCAGTGGTTCTGAAACAATGGTACATGCCCCACTAGTGGTACTTGGGTCTCTTCAGGTGGTGCTCAGGGTCATCTACAATTTTAGACTTTATTTGTTTTAACAATTTAAATTATACATATACAGTACATACTGTACTAAAACTAGGTGTATTTTAGACCCAATTTAGTTTTATTTGGTCTTAATTTAGGCCTCTTAGTACTTGGAAGATGAAATACTTTACTAGGTGGTACTTGGTGTGAAATGTTTGAAATTGTTCTATTTAACTGAGTGCAAAAATGTTTATTTACATACCATTGAAAGTAACAAGCAAAATCTGCTTTCCTGGACTTAGCGTCAAAGCAGAGGAAGAACAGGAACACTTAGGGGCAGCAAGTGGCAACAAACGAACTAGAAAAACAATATATTTGTCATTTACACTGTCATTAAAATAGTTTAGAGGAAAATGCAGTATACCTTGCTTGCAAACTTGCAGGTGTCCATCATCATCTTTCACAACAGCCAGCGTTGGTGGAACTGGATTAAAAAATCCTTCCAGCATAGTCTCTCTGTTGTGGAAAACGTTCCTCTCATGGACAGCAACATCACACAAGGAGCAGAGAAACTGGTGCCCAGAGGGAACACAGTCCATACACCTTATTACAGCTGACTCGTCATCACACATTTGGCAAGCATCATGATAGACTTTTTGACCAGACAGCCTGCTGTTAAGAAGAACTGGCCTGATAGTCTTCATTTGCTCTCCCAACTGTTGCTGCCGTTTTGCCCACTCTGATACCAAAGGTGGTTCTTCTTCAGTTGGCGAGGGAACATCAGTGGAGGCAATGAGGTCAGCCAGTTGATTTAAGATAGAACTCTAAAACATAAACATATGCCATGAAAACATGAATACTATATAGTTAAAAACAATGAGTCTGATCATGGGAATATCAAATTCTGTAATAAGTATAGATTAAAAAGGTTTTACCAAGATCATGTTCTTCAGGATGATTTTCATGGTCCTGAGCTCTGCTAGTACTAGCATGGGGAGCTAATAAAAAACATTGACAAATTATAGTCACAGTATTTATAATTATGTGACAATACACGAAAAGTCAAATAATATTGAGAGTGTAGATGTTTTACCAAGCATCCCGTCTTCTTGGGGGTGTTCAACCTCAATTGAACTGGAAAACTGGGCTTTGCTAGTACTTTCTCGGGGAGCTATATAATACAAGAATGTATAATCATGATCTCAAATCCAAACAAAGACGCTTGATGTATTGTAATAACCTAGACACATTAAACCAACCAGAACGAGATCTAAGACGCTTTGGCTCGGTTACAAGGTAGCCGTTGCTGTCTTTTTTTCTCCATCTCACATTGCAACCAGGTGTGCAGGTTTGCTTTCTTTTCAATGACACCTAAACAAGAAGTCAAATCACTTATAAAAATTATATTTGGATATGACTGCACCACAGTTGAAAAACATATGATTTTCTGAACTTCAGAAGTACTGTAAATTCTGAGGCAGCACTGCTGTTGCAGACACAGCCAAAGCAGGCTTCGATCCCAGTATGGAAAACTCTTCGCTCTACATGTGGTTAATTCACTAATTATGCAATTAACAGCTATCTTTGCTCTCCACAAACAGCCTTGTATCTCATCACTTTCTTCTGTTGTTGATTAGCACACCAAGTCCAAAGCTTTAATAAATATATTTACGTAGGCTATACTAAATAAATAGTGTAGGCTTCATATCAGCTAAAAACTTTTTTATAAAACGTATGATCGCAGATCTCCACCTTGATGAAAGCTCAAAGGTTATTTCAGCTCCTAAACTCGGGTATCAAAATTACTTCTCAACTTTACAGTGGAAAATATAAAAGCAGCATTTACCCTCATTTCGTTACCACATGAAGGCAGCATTAGATTATGCACCACTGCACAGCATTCATAGGGTGCAAATGGTTTGCCAATGTAAAATCTAGGAAATTTACCTGCTGTTGTGCCAGGTCATTGGCCAAAGACTTGCCCTTTTCCAGCCACTCTTCAAATTGTCTCAACGCCATCTTTAAAAAAGAAAGAAAGAAAAGAAAATGCTTCAACAAAACAATTACTATTTTATTTACTGAATATACATATGTTTACATGTTAAGAGTAATGCTCTATCGCTTCAAGTATAAGTATTTAAGTCTTATATTATTTGTTAACTTTATAGTCAGTGGTAATACGCTAGGTATGTTTTGTTATCAACACTATAGAGCCCCGAACAAAGAATATTCTATTTAGTAAAACTGTAAACAAGTGCTGTAGATCTAGATGCTGTAGCTATGGCAGTCCTGACCCCTCCTCTCAGGAGTGGTTTCAGGCTCCCATCCTAGTGCTGACGCAGGCCCACCCTTGGCTGTATATTTAGGCATTCATTCAAAGTGGTAGCCTACTCAACTGGGCATGAGCTACATACTGCAATACATGTATCATGGTGAAGAAAGACAAGCAAACATGGTGCACTGTTCTGTAATCATAGAGAATATGCCATGAGCACATCGGATTCTGTAGGTTTAATTTTAAGACATGCGGACACTGCACATAATTCCCGCCTAGCCTCATGTATAAACAAGCCAACTAGCTGGGCTCACCATCTTACTCTTACTCTATATAATGCTTACAATTTTAAACTAACCTGATATACTGTACACGGCCTTAAGTCGTTTATAATGTATAAAGACACATTTTGGCTCGTAGGCTATGAACTTGTGCAAAGTGACCAACCTCTGCTCTGCCCACCTCTGACGATCGATATTTCTTTCTTCAGTTGTCTTTCTTTCTTTCTTTTTTTTACTACTTTTCTAAGACAAAATAAAGACGAATTAAGAAAAATAATTAAGAAAACAAGAAAACAATGGCCTCTTACCTGAGAGCGAATCCACAGCACAAGTCTGACAAAAAGGAGACTGTGACGTCGTGATTTGTCTGGTTGCTATAGCGACGTGTCCCACCTCTGTGATGTGATTGGTTGTCTGAGAGTTAGGCGCTTGTTTTCGGTCGTTTTATATTTCCTGGGCGCGGGATGCCATGTCTAAAGTTTTGTGGAGTTTTGTGCTTTTATATTGCAGGCTTACATGATATGTCTTGGAGTAGGCCACATAAAGTGGCGCACGTTATTACGCCTATCTGGACATACATTCTTTTGACCAATCGTTATTCAGCTACTGACTATCAATCTCAAATTTGTTTGTCCCACCTTTGGACTAAACCTGCGCAAGATTTAACATGGTGATCTGAACTTCTGAAGACTTCAAAATGTGGAACGATCAACGTGGCGATATCTAAAGGAGTTGTAAACTGGACGTGCTTATCAATGGAGTAAACTGACGACATGCTGTTAAACGATGCTCATAGGCCCGTTGTAAGACCCCGACATGGATCTATTCTGCAAAGTTTTCCCTTTCGTCTGAACACAGAGGATTCAACTACACGTTTTTGGAGGGGAAAAGGCAGAATTGCACAGACCAACGATGACCACTGCTTCCATCTTCTGCATATGAAAATAAGGTATGAAATTATTGTTTTGTTTTGGATGAAACGTAAGGAGCCTTACATGCAAATAGGCGTGCCTTCTTGTTGTCTCTTGATTGGTTGTGTGGGGAAACTGCACTAAAGGCACGTGTTCGTGTTTTTATTATACATAGCTTACTCTATTGTGGTAACTATTGTGAGTGTTGGAGACTGTTAGGAGGATAGAACAGGATGGCGGCTGGTGTGTGCATTGTAATGCGCATTGCGCAATATGACACTTGCGCAGATGAATTGTTTGCAGTTCTGACAGAATGTGATGCTGTTTGTAAACGCGTCCCTGGGTTTGCTGCGTCGCGTGACCATACACTGAAAAATAACGACCATTTAGGCCGCAGCGAAGCTGCCCAACCAGGCAAAAAAAACGCCCAAATAGACCGATTTCAGAGTTGTGACAATCGACCCATATTGTCGTTTGTGTATGAGGACGTGTTGGGATGTGGGTGTGTCTTTCAGAATCTGATTTCATATTTCACATTGCATAGCACACAATATTCTGTGGGTCTTGAAAATCAGTGAAATAATAAAAAACGGCGGGCACTCCATGAGTTAGTAAGTCTTGAAATGGTGAATATAACTTTAAAAACAGCCAAAACAGTTTGTTGACAGGCTAATGCTAAAGACAAAATGATAACAGTTAACATGTGTTGCTACAGTAGCTAACACTTGCTCTTCTCTGGTGGAAAACCCACCAGAACCAGTCCAGGACCAGGACCAGTCCAGAACTAGCACCTTTCTGCTGATAGAAAGAAAACAACAATGACGACAATGACTTATACTTGAATTCTAGTCACATATAGAACTCCAAACATAAAAAAGGTGATTTGATAAAAATAATAATGATATAGAAAGAAACTACATATACATACAGAAATAGTCCAAGTCAGGAAGGCCAAAAAAGCACAAACGCAGAGTAGGTACGTGTCCAAAACTAAAATCTGTCAAATAGTCCGCTCTGGGAGTTCTAGTGTTAAACTTCTGCCCCCCGTGACCAGCAGTGGATAAAGCGTAGCCAATGGGAAAATGGTGATATGACAATTGACTAATACCTGCCAGACCACAGCAGTGCCCCCTGTGGCTCTGGGACAACACTGCAGTCTTGAGTTTTGGCCACAAATTCAGGGCCATGGCATAAGAAGAGAGCACTTATCTCCACGCCTGCCATCTGGCTCTCCGGCTGCGGCGCGCTCCTCTGAAGAGCACGGACCGGCGCGCTACTTAGCTCATTAAAAATAAAGCGGGGCGCGTTGACACTCGGCAGGTCAGCAGGGAGGAGGCTGGCTGCGGATCCAAAGCTCCACAAACAAACTGATCCACCGCAGTCATTTCACGCTCAGCCAAACGCAAAGCTGCCTCTAAATTCCGATACCTGACCAAAGCTCCCTCCACCGCCTCACAGAACTACAGTGATGTTCGGTGCTGAATTTGAGATACGAAAATTGAAAGTAGCAAATTTTACAAAATGGAAGAAATGGGTGGGTAGGAATTGCCGCATTTTGAGAGTTCTTATGTGTCGATTTTGGGTCTTTATCATGATATTGAGACTTTTTGCAAAAACCCTTAAACATTATTCATCCTTAACCCTGCATCTTGCTTCATGCTTTAAAATGTTCCTGAAATATTCCACAAATGGCTTTTCTGTTGCTTTTATGGTGAACTCTCAAGAATGTACTGTTGCTTTCACTTCATATCTCAAAGACAGCCTTTCCTTGAGAACTTCCAGAAAGACACATTACACTGTTTTTTTTTTTACTGTTAGTTTTAAACTTCCCATGTCTGATTTGTCTTTGTTTTGTCTTTCTTCTTGTGTTCCCTGTTTCTGCTTTGTCTTCCTGCATCGACCATTCTTTCTAAGTATTTTGACTTCGTATTATCTTCACTGGTTTTATTGTTTATTATGCAGACCGTGCAGCGCTTTGTAAATACTGTTTTTGAAAAGTGCTATACAAATAAAGATGTGTTATTATTATTATTGTTACTAAAACTGATATTCTCTGTTATGTGTGTTCACGTTGGCCCTCAACGCTGGGGTACCTAACTTTCAAACCACAACGAAGAAATCGCTTTAAAAAAAGAGCAACATTTTTTTAATCACAAATTTAGAACTGTTTTTTAAACAGAAAAGCTAAAAAGAGAAGACCACCCTCACAAAGCCGATCCGCTCTCGAGTAATCAAAAGATAGAAAGTTTTCTAACGAGATGAGAACAGCATGTTGTGGGCTGATTTGTAACAATATTACCTTTTATAAGAAAGAAGTCTTATTTAGACTTAGTCTTGTTTTTAATCTCTTACTTTCCGATTGTAATTGTTTTCCATCTCATTTACCACTTAAACGTGTTCCTTTTTTCTCCTGCATTCTAATGATCACGCTTGCTTTAAATATGCTACACTCTGCTTTTGCCCGTAGGAAAGGTGTTCTAGCATTGTTCTACAGGGGTGGCCAGTTATTTTGTCCAGTGGGGGTTATTCACCATCTTGTAAAGCTCCAGACTCAATTTGGTAAAATAAAATTTGGAAAAACATAATAATAGTAATAATGCGTACTAATCTTAAACTTCTACTGTAGTAGAGGCCGATGTCTCTACTACTGACAGAAGAGACATCGGCCCCTTCGATCCCCACCAACTGTTCATGCACATCAGACTCATTCTAATATGGGCTAAGTGTCTTGCCTGAGGACACAAAGACAGTTTGGCACTTTACATCCGCAGCCACTCCTGTGGTCCCTGGTCTTCCTGTGGTCTCCCATCACAGCACTAACCAGCCCCAGAGGTCTGACAGGATCTGGATTACCATGTGTCAGTGGTCATTGTGCCACATACGAACAAATATGTCTTGCTTTATTAGAGAGATTTTACATTTTACTTAGTTAGACTTACTTGTTAGTACTAGTATGTACTTGTCCTATTATATATATGTTTATTAGTACATTTAATTTTTCATTCATTCATTTAATTCCTGATCCAGTTTCAAATCCATCGTTCTAAATCCAACAGACGGATGGTAAATTATATAAAGATTCACTCATTGTTTATTTTACTCAAACATAAACTCCAATATCATTTATTTGGACAATATTAACAGCACATATAGACGCGTAGGTATAATAACGTTACATGTACTGTGTTAAAGTAGAATCCCTCTTATTCTTGTGTCTTTCCCGCAGGTGCTGCACTGAGCTGCCGTGTGGAAGACGGTGAGGCTAACTCCAGAAACAGTTTGTGTGTGACCTTCAAACACGCAGAGAAAGCATTTTTCTTAGCTCTAATGAATCAAGCGTTTGGTATTTGGCCCTATTCAGGTTTTTCACATAATGACAACACAAAAGAGTCAATTGCTCTTGTCTCCACATGTACAATGGCAAATTATCCAGTACAAAAAATATTTGTTTATCTGTTGGAAATGTTGTTTATCCCTAAACAGGATTTTGGAACCTTCACGTTGGCACTTCATGCTTTACAACTTTAAAGTAGTGTGTAGAAAAGATATACA